AACTGATGTTTCACCCTATCATATGGCTCCCATGTGGCATCGTAGTCCGGGAGGCTCTTCCACTTGATCAGCACTTACTTAGTTCCATCTTCTCTCTAGTGAACCCCCATCAACTCCAAGGGTTCCAAATCACCTCTAAATCCTTAGTGTCACCGGTAACTCAGAGCTTGCTGCAGAATCTCCAATTGCCCTCCTTAGCTGAGATACATGGAACACTGGGTGTATAGTTACTATTGGTGGTAGTTTTAGCCGATAAGCCACCGCTCCAATCCTCTCCAATATCTCATATGGCCCAAAGTATCTTGGAACAAGCTTTTCATTCCTCCTGTTGGCGACTGACCTTTGCCTGTGAGGTTAGAGCTTCAAGAACACCCTTTTCCCTATCTCAAATTGGATGTCCTTTCTATGCCCATTTGCCTGTTTCTTCATAATCTATTGAGCTCTCAGTAGACGCCTCTTCAATTCTTCCAATACGTTGTCCTTCTCCTCCAAGTACTCATCCACTGAAGAAATTGGAGTGCTTCTATGCCCAAAGTGCACCAAGTGAGTTGGATTCCTTCCGTACAATGCATTGAATGGGGTCATTTGAGAAGCAAAATGAAAAGAGCTGTTGTACCAATACTCAGCCCATGCTAGCCTTTTGACCCATAACTTGGATGTCTCCATCGCAAAGCATCTTAAGTAAGTTTCAAAGCTCATGTTGATCATTTCTGTTTGGCCATCCGTCTGTGGGTGGTAGGCAGTGCTCCTCTTTAATATTTTCCCATGTAGTTTGAACAACTGCCTCCAGAAATAGTTGAGGAGCACCTTATCGCTGTCAGATATTATAGCCTCTGACACTCCATGTAGTCTGACCACCTCTCTGATGAAGGCTGATGCCACTGTCACTGCGGTGTATGGATGTCGTAGGGGAATGAAATGAGCATACTTTCTCAGTCGATCCACCACCACCAAGATCACTGTGAACCCTTATGATCGGGGTAGCCTATTTATGAAATCCATGGAAACCTCCTCCCATACTCGACCTGGTAAAACAAATGGCTGTAATAATCCTCTTGGAGACATGGCCATGTATTTGTTCCTCTGACATATCTCACACCGGGCTACCATCTCCTCCACATCCTTATGCATCCCCTTTCAGTACAACTCTGAAGCTAGTCTCCTGTAGGTCTTCTGCACCCCTGAATGACCACCCCCAACAGTGCTCCCATGGAACTCCTAGAGCAAGTGTGGAATGAGGACTGATGTCCCAGGCATCACAAACCTCCCCTAGTACAGGAGTCTCTCTCCTTCTAAGGAATACTTCGGATGGATACTCCATTCCCTCAGTAAATATGCCTTAATCTTTCCAAATCCTCATTTCGAGCACTCTCCTCCTTAATGGCCTCCCAATCTAACATCAATGTAATTGAACTGTTGTTGCATGCAACTCCCCCATACATCTGGAAAAGGCATCTGCCGCCTTGTTCTCCAGTCCTGGCCTGTATTGAATTTCAAAATCATAACCCAACAACTTGGACAGTTGGACAACCTCCTTTGATGCTCCTTTGTCACCATCCGCTGCTCCAACAAGTACTTCAAGCTCCGCCGGTCCGTCTTGACAATGAAATGCCTACCTAATAGGGAGGTCCGCCACTTCTGGATAGCTAATACAATGGCTATAAACTCCGGCTCATAAATAGATTTCAGCCTGACCCTAATTGTTAACACCTAGATGATAGGCAATGGGTTGATGATTTTACCTAAGCACTGCCCCTAATTCATATCCTGAAGCATCTGTCTCTACCAAGAACACATGAGTGAAGTTCAATAGTGCTAAGACTGGTACAGTCATCATAGCTTTCTTCAAGCTCTCCAAAGCTGCTGTGGCTTCCTCCCTCCATAGGAACCCATCCTTCTTTAACTGTTCTGTTAGTGGCTATGCTTTGGTGCTATACTCCTTCACGAATCTCCTGTAGTATCATATTTTTTTAAGGTACTGGCCATCTCAACATTGATTGGTCTGCTGCTACCCCCTCTTTGGATATATTATGACCCAAATACTCTACACTAGCCTAGGCAAAACAACATTTCTTCAGGTTGGCCCTCAGCTGATGCTCCTGCAACACCTCTAACACCCTCCTCAAGTGCTCCTTGTGTTCCCCCTCTTTCATGTTGTAAACTAGGATATCCTCAAAGAACACCAAGATAAATCGCCTGAGATAAGGTTTGAAAACCTTGTTCATGAGTGACTGGAATGTGGCTGGTGCATTAGTAAGGCCAAAAGACATCACTAGGAACTCATATTTCCCCTCATGAGTTTTGAAAGCAGTCTTGGGCACATCTTTCTTCTTCATTCTGATATGATGATATCCTGACTTCAGATCTATCTTAGTGAAGATTACTGCCCCACTCAGCTCATCAATCACTGGTATAGGAAACTTGTCTAGCACAGTCTCCTTATTTACTGCCCTATAGTCCACAAAATCTTCAGCTACCATCTTTTTTCTTAACCAGTAATACTGGACTAGAAAAAGGATTAAGATTGGGCCTGATAATCCATACCTCTAGCATTCTCTAATCAGCTTCTCAATCTCATCTTTTTGAAATTGAGGATAGCGGTATGGCCTGCCGCTGATGGGTGATACACCTTCCCTCAAGGTGATAACATGCTCCTTCACCCTTGGTGGTGGCAATCCTTGAGGTGGCTGAAAACCCTCATATAATTACTAAATCAATGGTCGGACTGAGGGAGGTATGTCCCCTCCCTTCTCCAATCTAGCACCCTCCAGTCTGTGCAGTTCCACTAAAAAACCTTCCCCCACCTCATGTATACTTCTCACCATGGTTTTGAGAGATACCATTACTTTGGATAGCCTTGCATCTCCCCTTATCATCATCTTTCTTCAATCCACCGTCAACTCCATCGTGATTGCTCTCCAATTGACCTTGGTGTCCCCTAAGATCTGCAACCACTTCATCCTCAAGATGATATATGTACTTCCTAACTCCAGTGGGAGAAAATCCCCTCACCTTAATCCCTTGGATGGTCAAAAAAACGCCTCTATAGATCCCCTGGCCTTTCTCTACCTTCCCCGTACCCATCATCACCCCATAATAGCCGGTGTCCACCAATTTCACTCGTAGTTGGTCGACAACCTGAGTGGAAATAAAATTGTGGGTAGTCTTACTGTCAATCAGTACCAACACCTCCCTGTCCCTATCCTCTATCTTCCCTTTCACCTTCATGGTATGATTCGTAGTGAATCATACCATAGAGTTCAATGAAACCTCTGCTAGATCCAGATGTAGTCTCTCCCATCTCTTCCTCTACCTCTCCCTCACTTCCCTCCTCAGTTTTCTTGTCATTATAGATGGTGAGAACCTGAAGAGTTCGGTTCCTACACCTATGCCCTGGAGTATACTTCTCATTACACCTGAAACATAGCCTCTTTTTCCTCTTCTCTAGCATCTCCTTCTCCGTCAGTCTCTTGAAATTACCCTCACTTTCTCCTCCTACTGGCTTCTCGCTAGTGGTCTCATGAAATTCTCCTGCTGTCGGTCCCTTGGATGCTAAAAGAGTGGTCTCCATCCTGTAAGACCCGCCCCTGAATTGCCGCTCCTGGCTCCCCTCTCATGATACCTCTAATTTTTCACCAGCTGTGCCAACTCCATGGCCTCTCCCAAATCACTAGGCTTCATGACCTTCATTGCAGCTTTGATATGCGATTTCATCCCCTTCAAGAAGTTCCCCTCCAATACCGTCTCTGAAAATTTCTCTACTTGATTGGCTAGATGCTCAAACCTCTCCCTGTAGTCTACCACTGATCCGTCCTACACTGGTGCAAAGAATTGCTTATAAAAATCTCCTGCCATGTCGGTTTGGAAACGTTCTATTAAACAATCTTTGAACACCTTTCAGCTCCGTAGGGTCTCCTCTGATCTCTCCACTGGTACCATGACAGCGCATTCCTCTCCAAACAGAAGCCTGTTGTTGTCAACTCCATCAACCCATTGATGTTGAAGTACCTCTCCACCTTATAGATCCACCCATGTGCATCCTCACTTTCAAAAATGGGCATCCCCGGCTTTTTTATCTTTTGATCTCCCCTGTTTCCCTTTATTCCTCCATACTTTTCCCCTAGGCCGGTTGTAAACAAGAGCCGGAACAATAATAATATACTTTATGATATATTAAAATTATACGCACAATAATAATAATAAGTACATATTCTATTATAAAAAATAAAATTTTATTAATAATTTACCATAGAAATTATATATTGAAATATATTTTTTAAGTATATATAAATTACATAATATGTATGCATTTATATACACACACACGCATGATTAATTTTATTAATTTTGTTGGATACTTACACTTACACAACCAAACAGTAGAATAGTAGAGGAAATGCTATTTCTTTGTGAACAACCTAGCAGTCTTTTTAGAAGTGATTTCCTTAACTTCTACTTCTAGAAATGAGACGTGTTACCTGCTCTTAACTTGCTGACAACCAAATTGGCTCTAAGTGAAAGACATGAAATGCATCTTAATGTGCTATGAATGTAATACTGTTCTTGTATGCACTGTATTGAAAATATGAACTACTAATCTGGATCCATGTAGCCATTTAACATGCATTGATTGTACTTAAAAAGAATTATAATAATGTCCTTTGAACTATTATTTATTTGACTTATTTAATGTGAACGGTGGGGGATTTTTATCATCCACTTATATTGCTTTGTTAATATGAGAATTTGGTCTGCTGGATTTGTTTGGCTAGTATGATGTTTTTTCTATCATGACTAGGTTACTGGAGTGTCTTGTTAAGGTCTTGGCATCCTTTCTCAATTTGCTAATAGTTTCTTTGGGCATTAAACATTATTTTCTTAACTTCAGATCAAGGGAGAACTATAGCATTTCTAGCTGTAGACTAGAGACATGCTTTTTCATTTTGCATTATTTGAGCTGCTGTTATATCTTAATCGAGAGAGTTTATGACTTACGGCAGTGGAGGAGGTCTTGTTGCTTATGCTGATGCAAGATCGGATTTGGATTTGGCATCATCCCATGGACCTACAAAGAAGAAGGTGGTAATACTTGGTACTGGTTGGGCTGGCACAAGCTTTCTAAGGAACCTGGACAGCTCCCTTTATGATGTACAGGTCATATCACCTCGTAACTATTTTGCATTTACTCCTTTACTACCAAGTGTTACGTGTGGAACAGTGGAAGCACGGAGTATCGTTGAGCCGATCCGCAACATCATGAGAAAGGTTCTTGTTTGTACTTTTGATTAAGTTACATATACTTGATCGGTTTAATTTCACTAATGGACAATTTTAACTTGATTAGGCAGAATGCTGCTTAAGGGTTTTTGCTATGAGCAATAATTCTCATTCTATGTTTCTTACACTCAGCTACTACTAATTTTGTGTCAAATATTTTTCTTTTTTATGATGTGTTGTAATACAATAAACAAAATAATGCATATTGTTATGATGAGGATTGTTGGATGTTACCATAGTGTTATGGAGAGGAATTTTTCTTAGCGTTTACTTTCTATCTACCTATATTTAGCAAATCTGTAATAATTTGCTATACTTGATTTAAGAGATTATGAGCTCCAGACTTTAAAGCCCTTGTGTTGGGATTGTGTAAAAAGGCACTTCTAGGGTTTTCACTTTGGAGGGCTTGACCCTGGTTACTTAACCTAATTATCCACTTCTCCATAAATCATGGTGAGCAATTTTGCTTTGAACTAAAGAGACCTTTGATGGCTTCTAATTTTTCTCGGGAGATTGGATGAATGTTGAGGGAAATCCCTTGTGGTGCTCTTGGAGTTTATTTTAGTGAGGAATTGCTATGTTCTTCTCAATGGCTTCCTCTCTAGAAATCTAATAGATTCGTGATGCATTTCTTACATGTGATGTAGATTGTTGAAAACCCCTAGAGAAAGGTTGCTTCGTGCAACCCTCAAACTATTTTTAGGAAATATGAATCATTTGCCTCTATTGAATACATTTAGGAAAGTTTCTTCTTGCAAAACATGAACTACTTCTAGAAAATATTATTTGGCTACTCGTTGTCCATTGAATATATTTCTAAGTTATTACCAATTATTTTAGCTTTCTTTAGGAGTTAAATGTAGATGAGTAGAGAACTGGTAAAGAAGGAATTTGAAGTTGAACTTGATATTATATGATACTTTTATATAATTCTTATATTTCATGTTATTTTGCTCTTAGAACATTTGGATTTTAATTCTATTTTATGTAATTTATCATTTGTCACTTTACATCTTGTGCAAATTTTTATTTTATATGTATGCCAATTTGTTACTTTATATTTCAATAGAAAGTTAATGGCATCCTTTAACATATTATTTGAGTATTATATAAAAATCACTTTTAATCATTATTTTTACTGTACGCAATTTTTTTTAATTTTGAGGTTTACCCCTCTCCTCACAAACAAACAAACGACTCAATACTCAATTGCACAATTTTTAACCTTGCTTAAACTCTACAAAAGAAGCAATAGCCCCCTGCAGAGGTTGAGAGAACCGCTTTAGTGACGTCCCTTTAGCAATAGTAAAAAATTACATACAATTCGGTGTATTATTGATATTCATCAAAGAGATAATAGTCTTGAAATGAGTAATAGGCTTAGTTGAATCCATTTTTCCTTTTATAAACTTTGTAGGTTACATTGCTTTTGAGATTTTTATTCAAAATGCATTCGACAATTGTAATTTTCACTTTAATTGCCAAGTAAATTCTTCTTTACTCCTACGAATGTATTTTCATCTATTGCTTGAGTTGAAGTTAGTGCTCTTACATTTGGAATTTGCTAGTGAATGATGAGTTTGAGGATCCTTTTGGAATTTGAACCCTTGGAGTGACTTTATAAACACAATACACACTAGGTTTTCTTGAATCATTTTAGTAAATCTACCTTTTATTTTTGTCAATTGATTGTTTGTGAAAAATGTTTGTTTTCCATTTTTTTTAGTTCTCTCATTTTGCTACTCAAATGCTTATAATACTTGATTTCAGACTCCAGTTTTAGGGATGTTGAATTTAAATTCGTTTGTAGACATTTCCATTAGCTTACTAATTTGAATAACAAAATAAAAAGAGGAAAACTAGAGAGAGAATCTAGAATGAAAAGGAAATTTTATTAAATCACATAAAATATAAACTCAAGTACAAATGATTCGATGTATTGGTCTCTTCCTTTGACCCTATATTTATAGGCTTGGATCAAAACACAATGTTACAAAAACTTGTATTTAAATTTTATAAACAAAATGGACATGGCAAAGCTAAATTAATGTTTGCTGTGAAATATATGAGGCTTGAGGCCTAAGATATATAAAAATATATTTATAGACTAATATAAGTTGAACCATAGAAAGTAAATTTTGAACTTCACTTGAATCCATCAAGTTCTGGCTAGTAACATTCATGCTAAATTGGTGGTCTTGGTGAGTTTGGGTGAGTTGGTTATTAGATAAGTGCCCAAATATTTGGAAAAGTATGCTTACTCTGTCCTTAAGCTGAGTACACTTGAATTGACGGCCTTGGCTTATTATTTGAAAGGCTAGTTCCCCATAGTCCGAGCAATTTCAATAGATTGGTTCTTCTGACTTAGCCAACTAACTTTTAACACGATTTATTGAACCGGGTTGACTTGACTTGAACTGGGTCATAGTGATATTTGAGTATATAGTTAGTTCCCTAATTCTATTTTATCTTTAGAAATGACCTACGAAATGATAAAAGAATTAAATAGATTTAAAATCCCAAAGAGGCAGCAGATCAAGAATGATGCTAATTTGTTGTATCGATAATGACCTTGATTTGACCAGTTGCTGTATATGTCAGCATCTTAATATGTCTATAAATATAGACATAGAGTTGCTATCGTCTTCTACCTCTATCCTGCTTTACAACTTATTTTTCCCCTTCCATCAAGATGGATTGTAATCTTGAAATGAAGATTGGTGATTTCTATAGCAAAGCCTTCATGAGAAATATGCTTAAGGGATGCCAAAAAGTGGAAGTCAAGTGATAAATGGAGGAAAAAGAGAACTTCCTCTTAATGAAGGCACCTTAAAAAAATAAAAATGGGGCTACATGATTCTGATACTCTTACTAAATAAGAAATTGTTACGCTGGCCCAGGAGGGGCCGGCTGGACCGGTCCATTATTACTGCAGGCGGAAAAAATAGCGGGGGGCGCGGTTGCGAGAGGACACGTGAGGTGAGCCGCGTGGTTTTGGGTGCGTCGGGAGGGAAACTTTGAATGTTGGGGGCTGTTTTAGGAAGTTTGTAATTGTCCTTTGTCTTTAATTAGGAGTTTTGGTGAGGAGGGGATTATGTTGATTTTGAATGTGATTTGGGAGATCTAGGTTTTTCTTTTGGGCTCTAGACTACGGCTAGAGATTTGGAGAGTTATTCCTTCCTCTCGAATCGAAGGAAACTTGTATTTTTTTTGTCTTTTGCATCGACTAGTGAAATTCAATCGTATGCTATTGTTTTTCCTATTTTCCCTATGAGTTCTTTCAGATTTTTCCACTGTTTTTGTGTTTGGTGGCTGTTTTCTCATAGAAAACTTAGTTGCGATTTGGCTTAGATCCGATAGGAATCACTTGAAATACTCAAGTGGTACCTATCAGAAACTCATTAAGACAATCTTGCGAATGTTCCATCAAGTGAACCGGTAGATTAGTAGACAATCCCTCACAAAGAATCTACTACAAAGTCAACGATTTTGCAAGTTGCAGTAGTTATTAAGCCAATGATTTCAATAGCAAGTTTTTAGAATTAGAGTTTAGGGTATGTATTAGCAACTTCCAAACACTTGTAGTACCTTGCAAATGCTTCTCTTCGTAGCTTTGATCGAAAGGAGTTTCCTCTCGTTGATTTTTTGTTGATTAGCTGAAATCTAAATGTCTCTCCACTTTTGATGTTACTTTAGTGAGATCTAGAGAAGATTTTTTATACTGCTGGGGAGAAGAATTTTGGTATATATAAAAATGTTAGTGTTAGTAACCTTGTTCCAGGGACTCTTAAAAGGATACGTGTAAAGTTGATCTGGTTGTTGATGTTGTTGAAGCGATTGTTGATGATCTCCAGATCTTAATGTTACTAGATTTTTTTTACTTAAGTTATTTTGTTCCTGTTATCTTCTTGGTTATTATTGGTGAACATCATTGTTGGCAGACCATTTTCTTGTGTTTTTTAAATTGTTGAATTAGAATCAGTGCTAAATTGGTTTATTGTTATGGCAGAAAAAGGGTGAAATTAAATTTTGGGAAGCTGAGTGCTTCAAAATTGATCCAGCAAACAAGAGAGTTCATTGTCGGTATACTACGGCTCCAAACTCTGGTTGGACGGATGAATTTCTTGTTAATTATGACTACCTGGTGATAGCAATAGGTGCAAGGGCCAACACATTTAACATTCCGGGTGTGGAGGAGAACTGCCATTTTCTTAAGGTACGGTAACTTTTTTAAAGATTCAATACTCTTCTATTTAACACACATCTTCATAATGTAAGGATGTAAATAACTTGGAATAGTGGTTGGTTGGTCCTTGTAATTATGGTTGATCTGAGCAGAGTTAGTTAACATTGATCTTCAAAATTGTGAGCTCATTAATTCTGATTAATTATTGAGTTGTGATCAGACACTGATTGGGTGCTGCATAAGCTACTAGCTTACTGGTTATCTCATCTTTTGTAGGAAGTAGAGGATGCTCAGAAAATTCGTAGGAGTGTTATGGACTGTTTTGAAAGGGCCAGCCTTCCAAATCTAGATGAGGATGAAAGGAAGAAGAATCTTCATTTTGTTATTGTTGGAGGTGGCCCAACTGGTGTCGAATTTGCTGCTGAGTTGCATGATTTTGTTTCTGAAGATTTATCCAAATTATACCCTTCTGTTTATGGCCTAGTGAAAATAGAAGTCATTGAGGCTGGCGAGCATATTCTGACAATGTAAGGGGGACGCTGTTATTTTTTGGCACAATGCTGTTTTTATTGAGTTCAGAGTTTTTTGTCGGAATAATGGGAGGGTAAAATATTATTAATTCTCATTCCTCTTACCACGTTGCATGTGTATGGTTGTAAAATTGAGGTTTTTTTATGCCAGGCAATTAATAGAAACCTTAGAGAACTATAGAAGATATATTTTTTTTTCTCTTTGTGGCGCATTATGATCATCATCATCCTCTTTATGGTTAGCTGTATTCCATGTATTTGGGTTGGATTTGATGCAAATCTTAAAGCATATAATAGTTGGAAATGCAAGATATTTTTATTAACATGAATAAGTTGAAGACTGGTTTTATTTCAGTACTTTGGGTGTTTATTTTAGTAGAACTTTCTTACAAACTTGCCTGTCCCCTGTTTTGAAGATTAGTATTCTCCAAATTAATGATGTTTTTTTAGTTTTGCATCTGTTATGGAAGTTTGTGGTTGAAATGGTTGACTGAGTTGCTATCCATTTTGACGGCATTTTGAAACCTTCTAACTTCAGCATTTAATCATTTGTTGAATCCTTGTTGAACTAGTTTATTGAAAACTTATACTGTAGACTTAATTTGAAGTTTACAAGAGTCCATAAGTAGGAACAGCTGGATTTTTTCAGCGGGTTACCAATTTGTATTAACTTTCACACTAGTTTGTTGGTAGGCAGTGCAATTTGGCATTATGTGAAGAGATTAATTACAAGAATTGGGAATATATGGCTTTGAGTTGGGAATATTTGTAGGAATTAATTCTAATTTTTAAAAAATAATAATTATAGTTTATGATGTTTTGTAGGTTTTACTTGAATAGAAAAACTATGAATGTGCTTACCCATATGCCTAATTTCACTTTGAAAGATCTTTGAATTTTGGTTTGTAAATAAAGAATGGATTAATTTTTGAAGGTAAATAAAGATTGATTGTCCTAGGTGATAACGTGAAAACCAAATACACTACCATTAAATTAAGTATATTTGGAATTTAAGTGGGGCCTTTAGTGGATATAATATGTTGCTTGAGGCTATATCTTAAATGAGGGATCATTTTTTAGAAGGTAGCGTCACGACCTGGCCCGGATGTTTGGAGTATTGAGGTAGAAATAGTTGGTTAGACGATAGTTTAATTCTTTTCAATTAACATTATATGTACTCCCATAGTAACATCTTCCAATGTATAAAGAGCCACTGGTCAACCAAATTTTCATTTATGTCGCAACCATATATATTCCATTTTTTTCTAGTGCATTTAAAATAAAGAGTTAAAATAAAATATGTTATTTTGCAATATCTATTTTCACTCACTCATCTTTTTTATGTAAGTTTTTATTTGTCACCCATTTAACATTGAGGGACTTTACTGAAAAATAAAATTTTATAATAGGTTGAGTAACATAATCATTTAGTGGCTAATTACAGTGATATAATATATAAATTTTAAAAATAGAAATAAAATGCATGCGATTCATTTTAAGCAATCACTAACCAATCATTTTAATAGAAATTTAAAACATACACATTTCTAATCTAATTAGGAAAACTAAAGAGGATATATCATTTTGTAAAACATGACATTTGATAAGGAATTCATTATTTCTAGGGTTGCAAACGAACCGAACCGAGCCGAGTATGTGAGTGTTCATGTTTGTGTTTGTTTAACATTAGCTTGTTCATGTTTGATTCGAGCTTTATTATTTGTGTTCATGTTTGGTTCGTTTAATTTAAAGGTGTTCATGTTTGGTTCATGTTCGTTTGTTTAGTGCTTATCGAGCTTTAAACGAGCTATGTTCGTGAACATATCTCGCAAACAATCTATTGAACATGCAAACATTAAATTTGTTCATAAACATTTTTAACGCATTGCTTTCTCAGCCAATACCAATATATTTCCCTTCATTCGGTTCATTATATATATATATATATATCTTAGATAAGAAATGAGCAAAATAATTTGTCTTGGGTTTGTTGATTGATAGTGTATAAAATAGAAGAATGACAAAGGCTTTCTTACTTTCTTCATAGATGAGAGCATTGTCATTGACTTTTAAGTTTTTCAGTCTCCCAACTTTCTAGACTTTTTTACTATTACGAGGAACATGTAAGGTCTACTAACTTTGGGCATTATGAAGTTCCATCTCCATGAGATGATCATGGAGTTCCCTGAGTGTGAAATTTGAGTTTTTAGGCTTCGAAGGACGATAAATAAAGTGGTGAAGTTTTTTTTTTTTTTTTTTTTTCTGGAAGGTTTTAACAATCTGTTATTACTTAAGATAATTTTCTTCATTCAGTTGATATGTGATTTGTGACCCCTGGAGTTGCTCGTTGATTGGAATAGCTTGGTTATCACAATTCATTATGGTGATTCTTAGAACTCTTAGACATGGGGAATAAAGTAAGAAAAGGAATTAGGCTGAAAAATAGGTTCAAAATTGGAACCATGACCTAGAGATCTGATACCATGTAGAAACCAAAGAATCATAAAAGCTTTCTTTCTTTATCATTCATTCGACGTGTACATAGACTTGCCTATGCAACTTTTAGGAAAAGTAATAATTACCTAAAAAATATTTCCCAAGTGGCTCCTTGAATTCTCATGCCCTTTACTTGTTTCGTCTTTCCAGTCAATGTGGAGAGAAAGTTCGTGTCCCTTGCTTTGCAATGTTTGCTCTCATCGCATACCAAGATGACCATTGTATGGTAAATATTAATTATTTCGAAAGAGGTTACAAGTTGTTACAATTGTTGTATCAATAAGGATCCTTTGATTAGATTGGGTCAACTTCCATCTTTCACTAAATAGATTAGGTTCTGTGACAAACCAAAGTCAATGTTATAAGAGAATATCGATTAGGTCTGGCAACATTCAATCTATCATCTCCTTTGATCCCATGGGATCTGGCCATGCTTGAAGCAGTGGAACAAACCATTGTAGTGCCTGATAATTAGCCTTAATAGAATGTCATCCCTTGCATTAGAGAGGGATAATTAACAATGGGGCTTGAGGGCATGGGAATTCTCAAACAAAGAATTAAAACCTTAAGTGAGGGGAAATTTTCTGAGTAGTACATTATATCTATTTAGTTTGCTTTTTGAAATTAAAATTTCATGTATTCCCATGAACGTGGAGCTTTCAAAGCCTACACTAGCGCTAAGAAGCTTATCAACATCTGCTTGAATCTCTGTTTTTTTTCTTCAAACGCTTGTCTCATTTTTTTTTATTGGCTTATTTTTTAGGATGCCATGGAAGTTTTGACTTGTAATGTCATGCGCCACAGTTGCATTTTTTAGAGTCCTACACAGAAACATCATTGTTAAGGTGAAATGCTTTGATTATATCAAATTGAAAATTTCCATCAATTTTTGTTGTATCCTTTTCTTGTTGTGATCCCTATTTAGTGGAAAATTTAATTGATATTGATGAGTGATAAGTTTACACCACTGCTTTGAAGCTGTTTAAGAGAGGGCTGATCCAAGATTGCTTAGTAGCTGTTTGTGCGCATACTATAGTAAAATTCTATGGACCGAGTAACAAATACTCATTAATTTTTGCAAATTACAGAAATTCATAATTCTATAGCTTGCCCGAGAAGCCCATAAATGCCTCCCATTGAAGGTTTCAGATTACATGCATCGATCTTCAATATTTTTGAAGTATGCAAAAAGAGGACATCCACAGAGCTTTAGAATCATCTAGGCTTCGATGAACGTCCAAAAGATTTTTAGCGTCACTGGATTGAATACATTGGGAGTAAAGGTAAATCATCAACTGTGAAAATAATTGGAGGATAAATTATTTGAGGACAATTTACCTTAGAATATTTGAATTGTCGCAGTCTAGTCTGTCTTGAAGCTTCCTGATCACCTCCTGCTGTAAAGGAAAGCAATTTTTCTCAGTATGTGTCTATCATCTTACATATAAATTTGGTATACTTATGTTGTGCAGTAGCATGCTCTTCTTGTTCCTATCCATTCCTTCTGCCAACATGCACCTTTTCTGAACTTCAATGCATAGAGTTCACATGCAAGGAGAGAGAACACCTGTTACACAGTAATTCAACTTAGCATTTCACTCCTTATCGAATGATTCTCAAAACAAACTTCACATTCCATCCATCAATTGCGAGCTGTACTTTCCAACACTCCATATGTACTATTTCTATCACTTCTAAATGTACCTTTTCCTTTACATTGCAAGAAACATTTTTCTTTCAATCTTTTCCATTATGCAGTTTACATTTGCCTAGAAGTTCAGAATATCAATGTCAGATGAATCATTTCGTTGTACTTTGTGTTTATGATATTTGAGAAAACTAATTATTCAACCATCATATAATAGCTACTCTAAGCGACCTACGTTGTTAAATTTTGAGTTGCTTTCCTTCGAGATTTTAAAGTTAAAATATATTTGCATTAATAGCCCAAATATCTCCTGACCAGGTCCATTTAGAAAGCGTGTCCCATCGTTTAAGTTTTTAATGAGCTGAACCAATTAGGAATGAAGCTAATTTATCATGATGTTGATGATAATGCCGTTATTTTTAGTTTTTGTTGGAACTATATGAATATTTTTTCTGGAAGAATTATTTCTATTTAATGTATGCTTATGTTTTAAAGAATGCTAATCTTGTTTATACTCTGTAATAGCTTATATATGGGAAACCATGCTAATGTATGAATTTCTTTACATCCTTCACGACTGCAAAGCTTGAAAGAATTTGCATTAACAATCTGAAAGCCTGCTGACTGAATCAATCTACGAAGCTGTAGCCCTTGGATGTAGTTTTTGGTGGAGCTTTAAGCATATGAAGTGATACTCAAAAAGTTTCTCCTTTCAAATTTATAAATGTTTTTTTTTCCAGGTATAAACAAGTAATTCTACTTTTGTTTTGCTTAAGAGTCTAAATTTCAAACTTGATTTTTCTGGTTTTACAGGTTTGACAAAAGGATTAGTAGGTTTGCGGAAGAGAAGTTCCAGAGAGACGGTATTGATCTCAAAACAGGATTCAGGGTCGTGAAGGTCTCTGAAAAAGAAATTACCATGGCATCCAAGTCAACTGGAGAATTTTCGGAACCTTATGGTATGGCTGTGTGGTCTACCGGTATAGGTACCCGACCTGTTATTGTGGACTTCATGAAACAAATTGGACAGGTTTGTTGATGAAAGGGTATTTAACATTTTTTTTAGGACTTCTGCTCTTTACGTGGTCCGTAAGTTTTCAACCATATGCTTTACATCCCTAGGGTAATAGGCGTGTTTTGGCTACTGATGAGTGGCTGAGAGTTTGTGGATGCGATGGTATCTATGCTGTTGGAGATTGTGCATCAATCAGTCAAAGGAAAGTCGTGGTAAGTGTATTTTTATGTAGGCCTTTCATTTATTTTTGGACTTTTTGATCTCTTAAGATGAACATGCTGGTTCTATTCTCTTGAACGTCTAGCCTATGTTTATGTTTTTTCACTAAGAATATGCAACATTGGCCTATACTAGTAAAATTCACTATTTATTGATTTGGGCTTAATTTCTCAAACCCGGATTACTCATCAAGATTAACAGAGACATTGAGGTATGTGTGGGCTCCGAAAATTCCATTTTGTGGTGTGATTCCGGGGGAATTTTCAGAAGGCAGATTGAGTTTTAGATAAGGCACTACCCAGAGATTTCGCCCTCATTTGGTGAGGACTTTTTTATCTTAGTTATGGTTTCCTATAGGCGCAAGCCCCTATAGTTAATTACCCCTCCTGATTACAGGAGAGAACTTTCGATTAAGGCTAGTCGTTAAAGGGGTCGAATAGGTTATGAACCTATCGTATAATAGCAATAATTTTAGGGTTTGAATCTTGGATTTAAATTTTGAAGTTTGAAATTTTGGAGTTTAGAATTTAGAGCTTATCACCATAAACTTAAAATTGGTGGTGGGGGGAATGAAGAGGATCCCAATCACGATCCCATGGTTCCGTCGTCCCGGGCTGTCATGTTCCCTGGTCTACTTAGTCAGAGGAGGTAGTCGACCCAACCTGACAGAAGGTATCTTGTCGGCAGCCATGGGTTGCTTCGTCCAAGGATACCTTGTAGACCTGGGTTGATGTTTGTCTAAGGGGATATATCTGAATCCACCTTAGTTGCCAGAGGGTTTTATGCCTATCGAATATACCCTATGATCCATCGCTCAAGGGTTTGACGCCTTTAGGGAACATACGGGCTTTGGCCGTGATCGTAATATAATGGTGCCATTTTGCGGCAAAATCACCCCTATCAGAGGGCACGTGCCACGTCCCTGTTGGCAATTGACTATTTGAGGATGAATCGTAGTGATACACCCAACATGCATTCGCTCTTTGTGAGCTGAGATTAATTTCAAATTTATCACCCCCGACAAATGGTTGCGGGAGGTGGATGATGTTTAGTTTTAAATTTTCAGATGATAAATTTTATTTCAGAGATTTGATTGGATTTGAGATTTGACCCCTCTGGTTGAGATTTCCAATCAACACGGCCATCATCGGGGTGACATTAAGGTCACTTGTATTTTCGTAGAATTTTGAGAGGTATTTTAACCTTGCGCAGCATTCTCGACGATTTGAGTTTGTAACTTTAATAGTTCTGTCGGAGCACATGCAGGGGTATATTTAATTTAAGAGATCATGTTTAAGATACAAATGACATTTTAAAATATTTAAATATAATCCATTTGCGAGAGTGATTTCGCTTAGAAAATAGTCCGAGATTTCATTTAAGGACTACGAACGCCTTCTGTCCACTTGTACATATGTTGCGGATCCGGTGGCGTTGCTCTAAATCAGGTTTGAGTGGTGATACATAGAAGATGTGTTGTTTAATTTATGCAAGCTTATCATATCATTTATTATAACTTGTATGTGATGTTTATCCAATAGACATTAGAAGATCGTGTTCTTGCTTGTAAATCAACTGTATTGGTTGCTTCGAATCTTCTGCTATGAGTTGTAGGTGACTGTATTTATTATAATTCTTTCACATTTGCCTGCAAATAACATATTGAATGTATATTAAGCCTCCTTCAATGATTTGTAGGCATTTACATCTCTTGTATCCATTCAACATTTCATTCATAGATATCCTTTTGTGTATGTAGTGTCCTCTGCAATGGCCCGCAGATGTTTGCATTTATTACATTTCTTTCATATCTGCTTGTAGACATTGTATTATGTACGACAAGTTTCCTACAATGGCTTGAAGGAAATGGTTTGGAGTACCAATCGTTATAAACCTTGACAAATTGAATCCTTTCTGTTGAATGATATGCTTCATCTTAAAATTGAAAGCCACATATGTGACTGATATAAGAGGACTATCAACTCATAAAGATGTTTGTTGAACAAAATTTTAGAGAGCATGTATTTGAGAGCTGCCACTTGTTAGAGAGCAATTTCAAAGTTGTGTGGGTGTTATTCTTGTTCAAAAAGTTATTGTGTTTAGGTTTATTCAGTTGGAGAGTTGCTCAGTTGAAGATCTTTATGAGAAATTGTACTTAGACTGAATTATTGGAAGCATTTCATTAGAAAAATTGGTAGCATGACATAAGTCAATATCTTTATTGATTGTTAAAGTTTTGTTTCTATTCGAGCATCGAGTCCTTTTCAAGTTCAAGTGTAAGTCTCGTTCGAGTTTGAGTTTGAGTTCAAATCCAACATTTTTTTTATCAAATTTTAATTAAAATTGATTTTAAATTTGAATTATGTTCAAATCAATTTTCTTAACTTTTTAGTCCAAGTCCTTTTTTGTTCACTGAAAATTTTGGCAGCCTCCTGGCGTCTCCTCCCCACCAAGGGAGAAATCGGGACGGCACTGCCGTAATTCTTCCCTCCCGGATCAAAGATCGACGGTGCGAGGTCTTCAATAGTTAATCCATCATACCCGGATCAAAGATCGACGGCGTATGGTCTTCAAAATTTAAAATCATCATACCCGGATCAAAGATCACGCACGACGGAGGCTTGAGAGCGGAGACGGCGGCAGGCTCGGGCAGGAGGACGGGGTCGGCCGGAGTCGACTAGGGCTCGGCGGCAGTGGGAGCAGGAGTTGGAGATCGGCGTCCAGTCCGAAGTTCGACGGAGCCGAGAGGTAAGTTCCGAAGTTCCTCTTTCGTTCCTTGCTTGCGATCTTCTTCCTCGGTTTCGATTTTCAGAGCGTATGTGTGCGTGAATCCCGGAGCCGAATGAGAGGAGTTATTTTTATGTCGTGAGTGAGGCGGTGGTTGAATCGTCGTGAGGTGGGACCGACAGAGGCGGTTGTGTCGTTTGGGGCTTAAGTCGGTCGGGAGCGGTTTATCCGATTTGGAGCCATTCGTGTGCAACGGTTAAAGTCAACAAATGAAATTTTGAAGACCATACGCCGTCGATCTTTGATCCGGGTATGATGATTTTAAAATTTGAAGACCATACGCAGTCGATCTTTGATCCGGGTATGATGATTTTAAATTTTGAAGATCATATTCCATTTTGTGGTGTGATTCCGATCTGGAGCCCACAGATTTCTGACCGACAGAGGCGGTTGTGTCGTTTGGGGCTTAAGTCGGTCGGGAGCGGTTTATCCGATCTGGAGCCATTCGTGTGCAACGGTTACAGTCAACAGTATGATGGGCGAGATGAACATTTTCTCCATGAGTAGTCAGACTTGGTTCAAACCATTGAGATCCTCTTTGAGAATATTTGAGTAGATTTAAACTCTATCCAACCAACTCAGCAGTTGAAACGTTTCAAAAACCATGTGGTTAAGGCTTCGTTTGGGACGGCTTTCTTATTGCTTCTTAAAATAATTTTTTAGTATAAAAATTAAATTTTTTGTACTGAAAAACTTTTTTAAAAAGCAGTAAGAAATCAACCTCAAAACATTTTGTACTAAAATTCTGTTTTAGGAAGCAATAAGAAGTTGTCCCAAACGAAGCCTAAATCATGAATTCATTCATATAAAGATCATACTTATCTTGTGGGTTGTGACTACTCTTAGTAATCAGAGATCCATAAGAAACACACTAAACAACCCAAGAATGGTAAGAAATAAACTAAAGCATCATAAATAAAAGAGTTTCACCATTGGCCACATAATTTCACTTGTCCATAGGCTTACAATTTTTAGACATCATGAAACTGAAAGGAACTATATGATAACTCATTTAAGCAACCTATGCGATAACCCGACACTAACAAGATCAGCTCAAAATCCTTTCGACTAGTTTTCCAGTTCTCCCGTCTTGTTCACATCTCCGTCCTTAGCTGACATATCATCTCGAGATGTAATCAACAACAAATCAACAATAAGATAAAATCAATGGAAACTCTAGATGCATTAAACTAGAACACATGGGAATAGCTCAACATGTCATATCGTTTGTCATTCATGCCATGAATGCTTTTTATCCCTTTTTAAAGCTTTTCATTACTCAGTAGTCGAGCTAATGAATCCTCTAATCCTCTCTTTAGATGGTTTTCACCCTAGTAAGGTCGAATACTAAACCTTGTGAAAGTAGTTCTCAATTTGGATCTATCCGCCACATTTCTTTTAATATTTGTACCTATAAGTATAATCTATTTTGGCATTCTTATTATTTATCAATTCATTCAATCACATGTTCATACCATGTTGTATGCCTGGCTATTCATTGTACACAAACATATGCATTAATACTTCAAGGAAAGATAACTAGGAAACCAAGTTCATTATATAAGGAGCAATACTACGTCAATGACGCGCAATAACTTCCTCCTTAATGTAGTTATGAAGGTTTGTAGCAGTCAGCCTTTGCTTCTTTGGCTCTCCAACAGTCTTTTCTTTGCTCCGTTCCTAGAAAAGGAATAAATCTCTCACTCTCCCTTTCTCACATAATGGCTCGCACAAAGGCTTAATAGAATATGATCTTATCTTCTTAGGTTTTTTTTTTCTCAAATAGAGAGCCGGGAGGAATATCAACGATTGAGATTATGGCTCTTAACATTTGTTTAAGGGAAACTGATTCAAAGGAAGATGTTCATATATAGGCATGTTAATTGGAGTAGATGTGTGCATGGACTGATGCATGGATTGCAGTGGGAATTTGCTAGGAAGTACTTGCAGACCGCGAGTATTTTCTATTAATCTTCTAAAAAAATAGTGAGAATTCTTCGCAAAAATCCGCACAAAATCATAAAAACAGTAGATAATTTGTATTACTTGATGAAAGCGAAACGAAAAATAGCAAGATACACTTGATCCTCTATTCGAGAGGAGGATCGATCTCTCCCAAATTTATAGACACAACTAGAGCCCAAAGGAAACCTAAAATCTAAGAGATCTCAAATTTCAGTCAAATTCAAGATGCCCTAACCCTAGG